GCCTGTATCGCTCGTTCCTCAACGTCCGCACAAGGCCCATAGCTCCCCAGCTCTCACAATCTCCTCCGCCACCAATCCCCCAACGGCCAATTTGTTGACCTTAATCAAGGTTCCCCAGAGGATCTCTGCATCATCCGTCTCGTCAACATTCAGGGTCGGCCCCCGTTTGAACCTCCAGGCATCTCACGAAGAGATGAGGGATGGTTTCCACGTGGCAGCATCCCGACAGTCAATATAAGGCCGCATCCTGGAAGGTGCAGATGGGACAGCCCGCAGCACATGTCTGATGATCCTTACATTGACTTGTCGTTGCTTGCCATTGGGCTGTCGGGATCGCAAGGTGGGAGGTGGTGGTAGATTTGCCAGAGTAAAAAAACCCGCCTGCTTCTGATCTGGTAGGACTGCCATAATGGCACAATGCTCATTCCATCTCCACTCCGTACATCCGTTGACGTAGATGGCCTTTAGTTCCCCGCAGATAATTACTGGCTCCAGTTTTGGGTTTGGTTCTTTCTGTTTTTTTTTGTTTTTTTTTTTTGGAGGGGGGGGGGGGGGGGGGGAGGACGAAGAGTAGGGATCGGAATTTCTCGATCTGTGTTTGTTATCCTTGATTGTGCAGGGGCCCATGCTATCCTTGATTGTGCAGTGCCCCGAAAGACAATTTGCTGCAACAGATTACGCACAAGGGTATCCCGTTCATTCATTACCAACGACTCACGAGTTCGAATCCATCACATTCCTCACTTCTTCCCCCGAATACATCGCACGATCATTATAGCTGTACTTAAGACTGAAAGATACCCCAAATACAGCTATAATGACCGTACGTTGTATTCGGGGGACGAAGGTAGGGTGACTAGGACCACTACATGATTCTCGTCATCGTCATCACCACGGAGCATTCTCACAAAACACAACAGTCACCATTACTGACCATGGTTGGTTAACCATGGTCATCGCCACTGATACATCCTTTCTTACGTTATCGTGATTAACGACAACAACATGCTGTTGTCTGTGTCATAACCAAAAGGGGAAGTTCTTGTGGCTCTTATTGTAGTATATCCACAGCGAAAAAAAATGCATCTTCATCTGAAACCTGCTCGCAGGTCGACAATTTCAGAATCAGCTACAATTTCGTTATCTGCCGAATAAGACTGATTGATTGCCATAATGACTAATTGGCAGGTAATGGATAGACGGATTGATATATTCATTCACTAATATATACGTATATATATTGTCACATGATATCACAGCGCCGAAGCAAAAAACGAAAGAAAACAAGGAAAACAAGAAAAACTTAATTCATTTTTAATCTTCTTCCTTACAACTCCCCCTGTTCAGAACCTCTTGCGTACAAGGCCGCCCACGTGGATGTAGGTTGATCGGCGGCTGCCCCCACCCCCGTGTGTCATATCGACCCACTATATATATTGTCACATTGTGAATCAGAGCGCAAAAAAGGGAAAAGAAAAAAGGAAAAGGAAAAAAGGAAAAGGAAAGGAGGTAAGGAAAGCTCCACCTGTTCATAACCTCTTACGTACAAGGCCAGCCACGTGGATGACAGGTTGAGCGCTGGCTGCCCCCATCCCCGTGTGTCACAAGGACC